ATAAGGAATCCCTGCAAGGATTTCGAAACATGAGTGGTACAGCCGGAATAAAGCCACCAAGTATTATGAGAAACTTCAATCAAATTTGATTTGAAACATACAAAAGCATTAGTACCTTTCTTTTCGATCCAAGCCTTTCGTTTCAGGCAATCTCTTTGAAAGTGTCCGGATTTTCCACAAAAGCGACACTTGACATCATTGAGTTCCTTCTTCGGGGCTTGGGCAAACGGCACATTCACTTTCAATGGTCCGCGCTTGCCCTTCACTTTCTTATTCCCGAGTCTCCTACCGGCTCCTTGGTTGGTAATAAGATGAATTGAATGAGAGCCCTGATTTTTAAGCCATGTTTCCTCTTGAACTAGCATACTGTGAAGTTCATTCACATTCCATTTATCTTTTATGGTATTATAGTTCATTTGGAACGAACCATACTCAGGGGGCAATGAATTCAAGATAAATTGCACCAAAAAGTTATCATCCACAGTCATCCCTAAGGCTTTCAATCTTGCTGCCAGGTTCGTCATTTCGACGACATGCTCATTAATGGATCGCGAACCATCAAACTTTATGGTGGTTAGCGTAGCCATTAGTGTCCCAACGAGAGACTTATCTACAGTTTGAGAGCGTTTTCCAACTGCTTTCATAAATTCCTTAGCATCATCGATTTCAGGAAGAGTAGACTTAATGTTGTTCGTTATACTCATCCGCAAAAGCATCAAACTTAATACGTTCGATCTCTCCCAAGCATTATAGAAAGACTTTTCACCTTCGCTGCTAGTATCAGTAATAGAAAGAGGCTTTTCAACATGGAGTGGTAGGTCAAGACCTAAAACACCAAGTTGAAATTGAATGTACTCAGACCATTCGAGATAGTTGAGCCCATTAAACATAGGAACAGATAATGCATGCGAATGAAGCGAAGCAAACACAATTACTGCAAATTAAAATAATTGAGATTTTCAAATCAGATTCAAGGCAAAATAATAAATGTACGTTGTAATTCTCCTTTGGGTGAACAACAACGTACTAATTAAATATAATTGACGCTAACATAATTCGCACAATAAAATCGCACTTCAATTGAACATGCATGTCATCTTTGGATAATCTTGCATTTTAATAAAAGTACTTAAAAATTTTCAATTATAAAATAATTGATCTACCTTTAGGTTACCCTTAAATATTTTATAATTAATGAACTTTAATTTACCCATTGTTAAAACATAATGTCATAAAAGCGTCACATTCAAATGGATAATTAAATTTAGTATTTAATTTAATATCTACACAAATATCTTTCTAATCTGATCACTTTGGTTATTAACAAATTAATCATAATTTAAATATTAAATTATATAATACATTCAAATATATCTAGATTTATTTAATATCTTTCTAATCTGATCACTTTGATGATTAACAGATTATTCGTAATTTAAATATTAAATTATATAATATATTTGAATATAATCAAAATAATCTACAACAATAATTATGTATTATTTAAATAATATACAGTAGCAAAACAAAGTAATATCACGCAGATCCAACAGTCGCATTAATTAATCAACGCAAATTCTATTAATAGATATATTATTAATCTTTATTTTATTTAATGCATAACGGTTACACAAATAAATTACCAATTCCATAAATCGTGGGATATTTATTCAACTAATTGTCGATAAACTAATCTCATAATATATTATTATTAAATAATATCATTAAGGATAATGATTTAATTAAAAGCATTAACATATACGCATAACATATCCTACATGATTTAAATTAACAATAATATACGCAGAACATATACATATACGCGGAACATATACACATAATAATAATAATAATAATAATAATAATAATAATAATAATAATAATAATAATAATAATAATAATAATAATAATAAGAATGATAATGATAATGATAATGATAATGATAATAATAATAATGATAATGATAATAATAATATTCGCATAGTTCAAATTAATTTTCAAATACACAAAGTTTTCAGCAATACATATCATTATTTAAATTATATTATAATAAGAATTTTATAAAAAAAACTTTCGCAAATAAAAAATTTAGATCGCAGCTGAAAAAATCTATCCTTACATAATTCTAACCATTGATCGGAGAATTCACAAGTTCAAAACCACGCTCTGATACAACATGTAAGTTTAAAACAAAATATAATCGATTTAAATTCGCTGATCTTGAACTTTGTGATTCTCACAAAATCATATAAATGCGTATATATATTGACCTTGGTTGGAAACCATTCTCGCAGAGTGACAGGTTGGATCCTCTGGTTCAGACGATCAATTGGATGTTCTAATTTAGACGATGAGTTGGATCCTCTTCTTTGGATGATGAATTAGATCCTCTGGTTTCTGCCTCTTAGCCTCAATGCTAGAACGCGTAAGTTTAAATTTTTGTGTGTGATAGAATAGATATGTTCTGGCCATTTATAGGCAGAGGGAGGACCAGCATCCTTTGCGTTAAAATCATTATCCCACGTTCTATCAACGTGGGATAATGATAAAGTGGTATTAAACCACTGTTAATTTGACTAGACCAATTCTACTTAATATTATCATTTATTTATTTTATTTTATTTAAACCATTCATAATTAATAAATGATACGAGGTCATATCTTACAAGAGAAAGGAAGAGCACCGACGAGTTTCGCTCGGAATCGACATTATCAACAATCCGATTTTTCTGCTCCTTAAGGAGCCGACCTCCGGCTAATGTGTGGTGGTTTTTGGTGTGCTTGCTGAAATACTTGATCTGCTCCAGCTTGGTGCTGCCGGAAACACGCCGCCACTTCCCCGAACTTCTTCTGCAGATTGAACTCTATCTTGAACTGCTGCTCGCATCACCGGAACTGGACGGTACCGCGGATGACGGTTACTCCTTTGAAACCAAAATAACTCTGATACGTTGAAATTGTCCGACTCCATTCTCAATCAAGCAAAAATTAAAAAGGAAGCGGACTGGTCAAAGAATATAATCATCAGGTTGTAGAACAGAAATTCCGATAAAAATTCGTCAGCGCTTCCTCTTTAACAGCTGGGTAGTACGTCTGGAAATAAAAACACGGGCGGTGCTCTATAGAAAACGCTAGTGTTGGATCTGAATCACCTACACAGGACCAAAATTGATGAATAAGTTTTTTAATGGGATTAGTTTTGATAAATATTTTTGAATGAGACTAAAAATAAAAAAAATAATAATAAGATTTCAACGGGACTACTTTGGATTTTTGCTCCAATTTAATATATTAGAAATAAAATAATATAAAAAAGTTAAAACTATAAAAAATAAATAACGTACTAATTATAAACAAACAAAATTAAGTTTTTGCATCGGGTTTTTTAAATAAGTTTAAAATTTTTAGATTTTCGGGACTATTTCGTATGAGCTTTTTCAGATTTGTTTGAGTTATCGGATGACTTGAAACAAATCATTGACCTAGATCTTACCCGAAAAAATTCATATCGTATTCGAATTGTCAGACTTTTTGTAATATTCACGGCTTAACCCGACACACAAATATGACCGGAAAAACATATTGACACCAAGTATGGGTTCGAACCTGGACAATCCCAATAAATTTGGCATGTGTGTGCACGCGTGTGTTAAAATAAAATGTTAGCGTGGGAATCCGCAGCCGCTATCCGAAAGTGCGCACTGTGTAAACTTTCGACTGAACCTAATATCGACAAGGCAAGTCCAAGTCACACTAGGCGAACCATATGTGTGACAGGTTGACCTAGAAGTGTCAGAGTTTGAACTCATGACTTTATGGTCATAAGTTCACTCCCCACGCCACGAGCTTATCTCTTACGGGACAAAAAATATATATATTATAATACGAAATATATATTATTAAAAAATAATAAGTATCTCTTGGATATATCCACAAATTCGAGTTCAAAATCACAAGTCTACTTCTATACTAAGAGATTATCTTTTACGGAACTATTATTATTATTATTATTATTATTTAATGCCCATTGCGAGTGGTCTGAATAATTTATAGGTGGGCACGGACATGCCATCCCCTATTAAAGTTATCCATCTTTTGCCATTGACTTCCATGTACGACCTCACTTGATCGCTTTATTCATCATTTAGCTTTCATTTGTTTTTTGGAATTTTAATTTTAACTTTAATTTAGCTTCCATCTGTTTTTAAAATTTTATTTTGAATTGAAGTTTTTTCAATTAAAATAATTATTTAAGTATTTTAATGTTTAAATATGTGTTATATGCGAGTTGATTAAAAATAGCTTTTTGTATAAATAATACAATTGTAAGAAAATGATGGTAAAACAAAATTTTTTTAAAAATTAAAAAATCAATAGAAAATTAGAGTTAATTTTTTTTTATTTAGTAAAATAGAAAATCCACTTAAAAATATATAAAAAGAAATTACAACAATCTGGATAAATAATATAGAGCGTAGGATGTGTACCAAATGAAAAATTAGAGGATGAATAATTTATGAGAAAATGATAAATCAAATAAGAAAAAGTTCTATTGAATTGGGAATTTGTCAAAAAATAATTTTGTATTTAGTCAGTGATATATATTTTTTTTTGAATAATTATTTTAATATAACATTCATGAGATTATAATAATATATTTTTAAAGAAAACTATAAAAACTAAATAGTAAAATAAAAAATGAAAAATAATTTATTTATCATATTCGAATTATTTTCTGTTGATAGATAATTATGATTTTGAATAAGTCTACTTTGAATAAGTCTACTGCTATTTTAGTGACTTTACTGGTAGTGAAGTAGTGATCAGGTATATTCCTGATTTTGTAGATTTTAGTTGAGTCTTCTATTCTATATATTGTATCATATTATTCTTGAAGTATGTTAGTGAATTATTTTTTTCTCCCAGCCTTTGTCGATCAATCTATATACTTTCTCCTAAATTTTAATTACAACACATGGTATCAGAGCCGGTGTTCAACCATGAACAGCTCAACTCAATTATTTGTTCCAATTTTGGAAGGAAAGAATTACAACAGGTGGAGTACTCAAATGAAGGTTCTATTTGATTATCAAGATCTGCTTGATACTATTGAAAATGGAATCCAGGCGCTAACTGCTGATGCTACCACTGCGCAAAGAACCGCCCATGCCGAGTTGAAGAAGAAAGACAAGAAGGCATTGTTTATCATCCACCAAGGGATGAGAGACGACACATTTGAGCAGATAGAGGGAGCAAGCTCGGCACATGAGGCTTGGAACATCTTATTGACAACATACAAAGGCGATGACAGAGTCAAGCGGATACGACTTCAAACATTAAGGCGGAAATATAAACTCTTGCAAATGGAGCCTTCGGAAACAATCAAAGCCTACGTTGCTCGAGTTCAGTCCATGACAAATAATATGAAGACAAATGGAGAAACTCTTACAGAGCAAAATAAGGTGGAGAAAATTCTAAGAACCTTAACATCTAGGTTTGAGCATATTGTGGCAGCTATTGAGGAAGGCAACGATACGTCAACAATGACAGTCAAACAATTGTTTGGATCCTTATGGGCTCATGGATGAATGAAAACAAAGAAGCTTTTCCAGTGGAGCAAGCCTTTCAAGCACAGGCTAACATTCGTGGTGAAACCAACCGAAAGTATGGAAATTTCAGAGGTAAAGGAAGATGAAGAACTGGGAATCAATCTAACTGCCGAGGGCGGGGTCCTGGAAGAGGTTATGGTGGCAATAACAACTCCTCTTCATCTTTCGACCCCAATGCAAGTCGTCAATCAAATTTTTGGGGTCGAGGGCGTGGATGATATAAAGAGAGGTATGACAAGTCTAATTTGGAATGCTATAATTGTCATAAGCGTGGACATTTTGCAAATGAGTGTAGGTACAGAAATGATAATCAAGCTGCTCATTATACTCAAGAAGGTGACAATAAGAATGACCAAGCAGACAGCGGACATGCACTCCTGATGGTCACTTCTGGAAATGAGACACCAACTTCACATACATGGTTTTTGGATACAGGTTGCACAAATCACATGTGCGGGGAGAAGGAAATGTTCAGCGAACTTGATGAGTCATTTCTCACCAGTGTAAGGTTTGGTGATGGTCGATCAGTACCGGTAACAGGAAAAGGCCGGATTCTTATCTCTTTAAGAACGGGAGAGCATAGCTTTATTTCAGACGTCTTCTATGTTCCTGATATGAAGACTAAACTGTTGAGCATAGGGCAACTGGTGGAGAAAGGGTATGCCATGACGATTCAAAATAATCAATTTTCAGTCTTTGATGGGAAAGGTACACTTATCATTAAATCTCCTCTATCCAAGAATCGTATGTTCTCTATAGACATTCCTAAGGGCAGCTATAAATATCTAAGCATGGTGTCAAATGATGAGTCATGACTCTGGCACTTTCAATTTGGACATCTGAATTTTCAAAGTTTGAATAAGATTTTCAAGGAAAATTTGGTGCATGGACTTCTTTATATTAATCATCCTAATCAATTGTGTGAAGCATGTGTTATTGGAAAGAGTCACAGGTCTTCATTTCCTGGTGAATCATGGCGTGCAAAGAATCCTTTAGAAATAATTCACACCGACGTCTGTGGGCCTATGAATACAAAGTCTATTGGTGGGAATAGATATTTTTTGACATTTATCTGATTATAGCAGGAAGATTTGGGTGTACCTTCTAGTGAATAAGTCTGAAGTCTTTGAGCAGTTTAAAAAATTCAAGGCTCTTGTCGAGAGGCAAAGTGGATTCAATATTAAGGTGTTGAGAAGCGATGGTGGAGGAGAATACACATCCACTGAGTTCAACCGTTATTGTGATGAACATGGAATACGCCATGAAATGACATTTCCTTACACTCCAGAACACAATGGAGTGGCGGAGAGGAAAAATCGGACAATAATGGATATGGCAAGGAAAATGCTAAAGACTAAAGGTATTCCTAATTACTTTTGGGGAGAGGCTGTATCATGTTCTGTGTATTTGCTAAATAGGTCTCCTACAAGAGGTGGTCCTGCTATGACACCAACTGAAGCTTATAGTGGATTCAAACCAAGTGTGAATCATTTTAGAGTGTTTGGATCAGTGGCCTATACTCATATTCCAGCAGCAAAAAGAACGAAGTTAGATGAACGAGCTGAGAAAGCAGTTCTTATTGGTTACAAGCAAGGTGGCTACAAACTGTTTAATCCCACCCAAAGAAAGTAATTGTGAGTCGAGATGTGGTCTTTGGTGAAGATGAGACTTGGAATTGGAACACTAAGACACATGGTGGTTCTATGAAACATGTTATTTGTGACTTGGAAGTGGATGATGGAACTCAAGATGGCAATACTGGTACAATTGAAGCCTCGGTGACACAACCAGTGCCAACTGAAAGTCTCATAAATGAGCCTATACAGGCAGAGAGGCCTAGGAGGGAGCGCCGATCACCGGCGTATTTGCTAGACTATGAAGTGACGCCTGATGATGAAGTTGATGAACTGGTAAACTTTGCATTTCTTGTAGATGCTGAGCCAATGACATTTGAAGAAGCTGCAAAATATCCCAAGTAGATACATGCTATGAAAGAAGAAATTATGGCAATAGAAAAGAATAAAACATGGAATCTCACTCATCTTCCAGAGGGGCAGAAAGCTATTGATGTTAAGTGGGTGTATAAAAAAAAAATGTCATCAAGTGGACAGGTAGGAAGGTATAAATCAAGACTTGTGGCGAAGGGATTTGAACAAAAGCCCGGTTGTGACTATCAAGAAATTTTTGCTCCTGTTGCACGAATTGAGACAGTGAGAATTATTGTCGCTTTAGCTGCTCAAAATAAGTGGAAAGTTCACCAAATGGATGTTAAGTCGGCCTTCTTGAATGGACCACTTGAAGAGGAAGTATATGTTAAGCAGCCTCTTGGATTCCTATAGGAGGATGGAGAAGATAAAGTCTACAAGCTTAACAACGCCCTATACGGCCTTAAACAAGCACCGCGTGCCTGGAACAAGCGTATTGATGGTTTCCTTATGAATGCTGGATTTGAAAAATGCCCAGCTGAATATGGTCTTTATGTGAAAACTAACTCTAACAACGACATACTCATATTGTGTCTCTATGTTGATGATTTAGTTTTCACAGGTAGCAACCTTGGTGACATTGAAGATTTCAAGACTTCGATGATGACAAAATTTGAAATGACTGACCTTGGTTTCATGTCTTACTTTTTGGGTCTAGAAGTAACTCAGACTGAAAAGGGGATTTTTATCAACCAACAAAGGTATGCTACTACGTTCTTGGAAAAGTTCCAGATGCTTGATTGTAATCCCGCCAAAACTCCCATTGAGACGGGCACTAGATTGTCTAGGGAAGGTGATGACCATGCTGTAGACTCTAAATACTTTATGCAGATCGTGGGATGTCTACGGTATCTTATTTGTACTCGCCCCGATATATGCTTTGTTGTTGGCTTGGTTAGTCGGTTCATGGAACATCCTAGACAATCTCACTTTCAAGTTGTTAAAAGGATTATGCGATATATCAAGGGAACTTATAATTATGGCTTGTTTTATTCCTCAAGCAACAAGGGTAAGCTGATTGGTTACTCAGATAGTGATTGGGCCGGTGACCTGGACGATCGGAAAAACACAAGTGGTCACTGCTTCATTATTAATGGTACAGCATGTGTGTGGTCTTCAAAAAGGCAAGAGATTGTTGCACTCTCAACATGTGAAGCTGAGTATGTTGTAGCAGCTTCTGCAACTCGTCAAGGATTATGGCTACAATATGTTATGAGCCATGTCAAGTTTTTATCAACAATGCCGTTGAAACTATATGTGGATAACATCTCAACGATAAATTTAGCCAAGAACCCAGTTACGCACGGGAGAACAAAGCATATCGAGCTGCGCTATCAATTCTTGAGGAACCCGGTTGAAAAGAAAAAAGTTGAGCTGAAGTATTGCAAATCCGGAGATCAAGCTGCTGATATACTCACCAAACTGTTAAAGATTGAAGCATTCACTAAACTCAAAGATGCCCTTGGAGTAGGAATCTTCCCAAATCATAATTAAGGGGGGATGTTGATAGATAATTATGATTTTGAATAAGTCTACTGCTATTTTAGTGACTTTATTGGTAGTGAAGTAGTGATAAGATATATTCCTGATTTTGTGGTCTTGAAGTATGTTAGTGAATTATTTTTTTCACCCAGCCTTTGTCAATCAATCTATATACTTTCTCCTAAATTTTAATTACAACAATTTCAATATTATGTCAATGACATATGAAATATAAACAAAAGTATATGAGAAAAACGATAAATGTTATTAACATTAATATAATAGTACAACTATCATACATGAATTGATAATATCACACAATACACTATATTTATTTAATCTCAACCATCCGATCATTCATATGACAAGAACCTAATGCCTTGCAAAACTACGCTTGACAAGGTAAGTCGCACTAGATGAACCATGTGTAGCAGGTAGATCTGGAGGCGTTAGGGTTTGTCATCCCTTACAGGACAAATTTATGTACATTGTTAACTATATATTTAATGTGTTTAATATATAAGAATAAATATGTTTGTTTTGTTAGATTGTTGAAAAGTAAATTTTGTGATGTGAGATATAATAAATTGTGTGGAAAATATAAAAATAATGAATATGTGTAGTTTATTAAATTTTTTGAAAAAAATGTGATATATATATATATTCAATTTTTAGTGTGTAAGAATATTGATTATGTGCTATCTATTGCTATTAGTATTGCATATACACATTAACAGTGTGTTGTATATAGTTATATATATATAAGATTGTTTATATATTTTAAATTTTTTATCAAATAGTGCTTCATATATGTTTATTATGGGTATGTTTCTTTGTATGAGTTTGAAAAAAAATTGATTTAATTTTGGTATTAAAATAATTTATGATGTGATATTTTATGAAAAGAAAAAGTGTATTTTTTTTTTCAAAAAACACAGAATTCAAACCATAAAAATTTGATATTTGGAGTAAAAGAAACATAACCTACCTAAATTTTGTATTTAGGTATATTTTTGTTTGTAATTATACAACTGTCAAAATTTTTCTCTAAGTTATTTTACCAAATAGTGTTAAATAGATATTAGGAATATATTATTTGTATTTATATACATATATTGTTGATTAATTACATATTAATGATTTGCGTATTGTATGTATATTTATAAAGCTGTCTAAAAATTTTTAAATTATTTTACCAAATAGTGCTAAATAATTTTGTGTCTAATTTAAATAAAGATATATATAATTTATTTATATTATATTTAATGACATGTCAAATTCACATGCCCAAATAACACAACAATCCTCTTCTATGTTATTCTCAAGTCTATATTTTTATATATAAAAAAGCAATAATCTATTATATACAATATTCGATATTTTTTTTAATTTATCCCATAAATTTGTTAAATTCAAATATAATTAAAAAATATCAATTAATTTAATTAATTACATAATATATAATATGCATACTCACTTAAAACCACTTTATTTTTATTTTTTCAAAAAATATTTTTATTTTTATTTAAAATTTCACATCTTTTATAAAATAAATTATGATATTATTTATTATCTTAGTTGTTGGTATTTAAAATATTTTTAGTATTATATTTCAATAAAATATATATAATATGAAGTTTTAAATATTGATAAAAATATTTATTTATTAAAAAAGAGATAGAAAAAAAAGGGATTTTCAGTGTTTACAAATTAAAAATTTAATTTAATTAATTTATATTGGTTAAATATAGTTAAAATGAATAAATTTATAAATTAATCATCTTTAATGGAACCCATAAAAAAGAATAAAGATCATTAATTTAAAATATTGAAATACATAGTTTAATTTTTAAATTATATATATTTATTTTATTTTAAATAATATAAATATCATTAATTAACTAAAAATAATATTATAACTCCCTATCATTAATTAATTAATTAAACACTAATGGAAAAATATATATATAATTATCAATAGACATAAATACGTACTGAGTAATAATTTAGAGTGTGTTTATATTGGTTTTAAACTTAATTATTTACTATTTGAGCTCTATATTTTTCGAAAATAGCATATTCACAAAATATTTCAATTATATATTATTTTAATAGAAAATGCAAATCAAATTTTTTTAAGAAATATAAAAAGATAAATAAATTTTCATAATGATTAGAACATCTCCTATAGACGACAAAATTTCCATCTCCAATACGCTGTTAGAATTCGAACGCCGTGGTAAAAATAGCCGCAGATTAAATGACTCTCTCGCAATGAACGGTGCAGATTAAATATGGCGTTGTGATCCTCTTCTAATCAGTACGAGCGAGCGAAGGGAGGGAAAGTAACGAAAGTCAACTGGAGTGAGAGAGTTCACATTCCCATAAACGACTTTCTACAAAGACTGCTCCGTCGTTATCCATTTCATCATCACACTTGGGACTTGGCGCAAATTGTCGGATACTCTCCGTCAATGTGCGGCGGAGGCGATGGGATTGAGGTACGGTAGGTAGGTGTTGATATTGTTGCGGAAGGAAGGAAGGACTTGCGAGTAAACTTGTTTTGGATTTATATTTATTATTTTCAGGTGCATATTACGCAGGGAGATTATGAAGGAAAAGCAGTGATTATATACTGTAGATGAACAAGGTTCGAGCACAGTGCTGTATTGGGCTGAGAACAGCAATGAGAGGAAGAAGAAGAAGAAGGCAGAGGGGAAGGTACACATTTTACAACTTTGATTCCTGGAGGTAGACTCTCTGCACTTCTGTATCTTCTTTATGTGTTTCTTCGGGATAATTTGTTTTTGATTCCTGAATAGGAGAAAAACTTTGATAATGTGCATCAAAAAGTGGTGAATCTAACATTGATTACTCTAAATTTTGGGCAGTATAATACCAAATACTATTACAAGATCGGTATTGGGCACACAACAAGAACTTTCTGGTTGACTGCACCTCCACCTGTTGGACCTGATGCTCCATATACTTTTGGTCTTATAGGTATATACATACATACATATATATATTCATACATACATACTTGTTGGATAGGCAATATACATAATATACTATATTATGGTCTTGGAGAGCTTTAAATATCATAGCCTAAACTTGGAACTTCCCAGTGCTTCAAAACAGGGGATTTGATAGGTATGACTTCCATTACAATAGGAGGTGGGATTCACGGGGGAGGTTTTGTGGAGAGGAGTGTGGCTTTCCAACCCTGGATTTGGACTGCTGGAAATCAGGAGATCAATTTCGAACCTAAAATTGTAAGTGTTCGTGGTCTCCTTTAACTGTGCAATTTCTTTCATTCTTTCACTAGAGGGATCATATCATAGAACCAATCCATATTTTCATTTAATCACAACTGTTTGAGCTAATTCCATTTCTGAAAAAGAATTATATTTATGCTCACTGTTGGATTGGAGAATGAGCAGATATCTGATAATTTAGGAGATGGATTTAAAGAATGTGTCGTCGGTTCATATGTTTTGTACTGAAATCGATGATGATACATATTGTATGGGATCATATCATATGCTGTATTGTATTATGTTAACATATCGTATGTATAATTCAGCAGAGCAACAAAAGCTAGTAATTTATTTCATAATTCTCATTTCTTGTAAGTTTTGCCAATGGCTGCTTGCATTCAACTAGGCTTACGACTGTTAAATCTTCGCAGGGCGAAACGGAACCATTCAAGTCTTATATAGGTATATATACGTTTGTACGTGTTTATTCTCTATAAAATGATAAATATTTCAGGAACTCGTGTCTAACATTGCGTACAATATTGTGAATGGAATTTGTACACCGGTGAGAGACCAGTCGGCCCCTGTTTACATAATCATCGGAGATGGAGGAAATCTCGAAGGCCTCGCTACCAAGTAAGAAACACACAACACACATAAAATGTAATGTTTTAAATGAAAATTTTAAAATTTTTTAATATATTAAAAAAATAAATATTTGATTTGATTCTTCTAAAATACATGTGAGATTCGTAACAATCACTAAATAGATCCTAATGAAGGCTGAAATGATTGTAATGTAATGTCAGCATGCCAGAGCCACAGCCGAAATACTCGGCGTTCCGGGAGGCGAGCTTCAGACATGCGACATTCGCCATAAAGAACAGGACACACGTGCACTACAGCTGGCACCGGAACCACAATGGGGTCGCGGGGAAGCCGACTCCATGTGGTTCTTCAACAGGTATTGGCATTCTATCGACGATTCTACTGCTACCACTGCTCAATAATAATAATAGTAATTTGTTATAGGGTACTTGTATTTCCGACTGCAATCGCTATGCTGCTTTATAAGGAAGCAGTACAAAATTTTATTTTGTTCTTTTGAAGTAATCTTTCTGTTTTTTAAATATTATTGTTGTGCTATTTCATAGTTAATATTGTGCTTTCTTGATATAATCATCGTGTTTTTTTAAAAATTCAGTAATAATATATATTTTTTGTTGGAAAAATAATCTAGATTGAATGTAAATACGAATAAATCGTATTTCGCAGGGTATACACGATCTTGGATATACTTTGAGTCGCTTAGATTCGCTTTGCTTATGCGATATTTCGACCCTATTAACGCCCCGGGTTACACGAAATTCGTACGAGGATAAAACAAAGCAATACTCGGATTTTAGTTGAAAAATCGAGCAAGTAAACATTGCGAGATTATTTACGCACACAGATTTATTCTGCAGACAACATTATTTTTTGTTCTTATGTCTGACAATTATGTAGTGGATAACAAAAAGTAGTGGAGATACCCAAAAGCGGATATCTTCATTGCGGATGGTCTAATGTCAGCATGACAGAGCCACAGCCGAAATATTCGGTGTTCCGGGAGGCAAGCTTCGGACATGTGACATTCGCTATAAAGAACAGGACACACGCGTACTATAACTGGCACCAGAACCAGGACAGGGTCGCGGTGGAAGCCGACTCCATGTGGTTCTTCAACAGGTACTGGCATTTTATTGATGATTCGACTACTACCACTGCTCAATAATAATAATAATAATAATAATAATAATAGTAATAATAATTTTTTATAGGGAACTTGTATTTCCTACTGCAGTTGCTATGCTCGTTTGCTTTGTAAGGAAGTAGTACAAATTTCTGAATATTTTTTTAACATATCTAAGTGAAATGCTTATTTCCGACTATTGAAGAATTGATATACATGTTTATATGCATTTTTACAAATTACACATGTTAAACTCTAGTTTAAGTCGCAAACATCCTAGAGATAATTAATGTAAATTACTATTCAATATTGATGTGCCAGAGCATTGTATTGATGAAAACAATAAACATTAATATGCACGAAGGGAAAAACATTAAATTAGAGCAGGAGACGACAAAACAGGGAATCTAATCTATCTACACAGTCAATCATTCATAATGTAATCGCATGCATCATGAGGTTCTGGAAAAAACAAAAATATTCGATTGTTGCTCTAAAGATATTCAATAATTTATCAGAATCATAGGAATGAGTACTATTGGTAGATTAGACCATACACTCAAAGATATATAACACATTCGGCCAAAGCCTTTCTTCCTATGCATATCCATACAAAAGCACTTGCAAAAATCCACCAATAACTTACTTCCCAATCAAGCAAATTATCTTACCTATGAGAATATATATATATATATATTGGGGTTAGAAACAATTAAAATTCATACTTGCAAGTGTCAATCAATCGAAAAATCAATGTATCCCCTTTGCATGATTGGTGTGCTTTGGACAAATAAAATACTTACAATCGATAGATCGACCGCGAAAAATCAAAACCCTATTGAACTTAGAATGTACCCTCCTTTCCAATGTTGAATTAAGTACAAACAATGACTATGATCCCACAAAATTACAACTTGTTACCTACTAGCTAAGAAGATCCCTCAAGAACAGAATCATCTTCCGATGCATCAATCCAAACAGCATTGTGGGGTTCCTCGAGGCAATACTTGGGTTCCAAGAAAAAGGCACCTTCTCTCATCCGTCCTGGCATGTTATCCATTTTTTTTTTCTTAATTGGATGAGTCAACCTATAGGGTTTACGAAAATTGTTAGCCCTCCCAAGTCTTTCACCGTCAACACAGGTCCGAACAAGAAAGATGTCTCCTCCCCAAATCCAGCGTCGATCAGTCCACTCAAATGAATGAAGAAATTAGATAGCTGGCTCGGGTGAAGCACATTTCTCGGGTCCGTGCCGCTGAGCGTAGCCGATGAGATGGCAATTTAAGGACCTGCAGAAAGCGTAAAAATCGACCATAAAAATTGAAACCGGCAGTTTGAACAGAATCAAAGTGAACTTTGAGCAAGGTGAGAAACCGGTAGTTTTTCTGGTTGGACATAAGTCTCGACTCGAGCCGAGACCGGGCAGTCGTTCGCGTGAATCCCTATTTATTGTGCGCCGGCTCAACAAAGTTCGCTTCAATGATACCTGAAAGACGCCCAATGTTAACATGACCGACGATAAAATGTGTTCGACCCAACGATAGGGATGGATAGCGTACCGACGACTCCTCTGCCGTTGTTTCTAGCTGGACAGCGTACCGACGATAAAATGTGTTCAACTGTGTCGAAATCCAATTCAGGCGATCCCTCGTCTTTTTCCCAGATACTGTAGATTATGATCCGCGTTCCTTGTTTATCCAAGAAATCGAACTGCAGAGGAGAAAACTATAAATTTTTGTTCGTCATCTAGGAATAGTATCTGTTCTTAGTCATCAATTCAAAAGCTACCTGACGAAGGAGATCTTTGTCGAACGGCCACCACTGCTGGATGATTTCGAGATTTTGTAGCCAAGAGTGAGCTGAAGATTTTTCGGGTTCGATCCAAGTCCTTCCCCTTCACTCATAATTGATTGTAGAGTTTGATAAGAACAAGATCCAATGAGTATTGCACGATTAATTGATGCATCATAGTTTTTCGTAATCGTAAAGATACTTGCTTTAAATATTTAATCAATTTTACAAAACCTACCTATCTCAAAACGTTCCATCCATGGCCCAACAATCAATTCTCAATCCACAGCCAGATTTTCTTAGTATTCTTCTGTTCCAAATTGTGGTGCCAATATCTCATTTTGCCTCTCATATCTTCAAGTGAAGCAACAAAACAAATAAACGAAAACCAAACAAGCAAATTAACTGGAAATTTAAATAAAAAAAAAAAAACACAAATTAGATGCCTACAACATCGTTTTCCTCTCTGGAACGTTGTCTTCTTTCTATGGATTCAGATGCCTATAATTAATTTATTGTATGTTTTTATGTTCTCCTTTAGAAGCAGTAGAAATTAATAGATTAAATAAATAAATATAAGTAATCTAATATTGTATGTTTTTATGTTCTCCTTGGCAAGAAGTAAAAATTAATAGATTAAATAAATAAATATAAGTACTCGAATATTAAAATTATAGAAGACAAATTAGAATCAACTAAATTAAAAAATTAATAAATTAAATAATTATATATTTAAAACAATTGAATGAAATAAGAATAAAAAACACATAGAAGATAAACCAAATGATTGCAGAAGATGAATAGAAAGAGAATTGTATACAACACAATAAATAATTATCCTTGTTTTTTTTTATAATTAATATTGTACTATTGTGATATTACTATTGTGTTTTTGTGATATAATAAGTGTGCTCTTCATATTAATTTTTGAATTTCTTTTTTCTTTTGTTTTTTTTTCATTATAATATATTTTCTTCGTTTATCTCTTATTTATTTTATTTTATTTTTTAAAAAAATCTCAATTGCATTTTACATTCCTATCTCTCTCTCTATTTTTGAATTGATCATCACCTGTATGTCTGCTGTTGTACTCTTTAAATAATATTGTTGTCCTATTTTAGAATTAATATTGTACTTTTGTGATATAATTATTGTGCTCTCGCCATATAATAATTGTGCTCTTGTGTATAATTATTGTGTTATTGTGATATGATCATTGTATTTTTTCATATCAATTTTTTGAATTCCTTTCCTTTTTCTGTGCATTATCAAATTAGTATGAATAACTGTTGTATCTAAATCTGTCTACGATGGCTTATATTCTGTAATTTGATTTATTTAGGAGAGAAGTTTATACATGGATGATCCAGTGGTTCATTGTTTGAATTATGCATTTACGGTCACGATTTTGATGTTTAATTGCACTATATGACTTACATAATATACAAAAATTACGTTTATATATATTATATGCATATTGTGTCTGCGTCGTATTTTATTGTGATATTTTAAAATTTTTATTTTGTTTGTTTAAAGTATTCTTTGTGTTTTTTTAAATATTATTGTTGTGTTCTTTCATAGTTTACTTTGCTTTTGTGATATAATCATTTTACTTTCGTAATATAACAATTGTGTTCCCCTTGTATAACTATTGTGCTCTTCGGGTTTTTTTTTTTTTTTTTTGTAATGTTTATTGCACTATTAGATAGTATGGATTCATATATCACCAAATCACAACAATTAGTAATAATATATATTTTTTGTTGGAGAAATAATCTGGATTGAATGAACATACAAATAAATCGTATTTCGCTTTGCTTATACGATATTTCGACCCTATTAACGCCCCGGGTTACGCAAAATTCGTACGAGGATAAAACAAAGCAACATTCGGATTTTAGGCGAAAAATCGAGCAAGTAAACGTTGGGAGATTATTTGCGCACACGATTTATTCTGCAGACAACATTATTTTTTGTTCTTCTGTCTGACAATTATGTGAAGATAAGACATAAATAAATAAATTTGGAAGTGTCTCTTCCGAAAAGATTTGAACTTGAATTTTAAATCCAAAAGATACAATCTTTTCACGAAAATATGCAACTTTAATTTCAAATTGAAAAGTTTCAATTTATTCATTAAAGTTATCAATTCAAATTTAAATAAATTTGAATTTACAAGGTTTTATGCAGAAATTAAATAATTTAAATCCTCATTTGAAAATAATAATTTTCAAACAATATGTACCATAATTTTCACCTTCATCGTATTATTTCACACTTCGTTCAATATCGTATAGGCTTTCTCGAGCGCGCACCCCACGCGACCTTTGTTACCACAATTGTAATATTGAAAATCGAGATGCTTCAATTCAAAAATCAGATAACAGATCTGATTAAGAAGATTCGAGTTTCGCGTTGCATGCGATCTCCTTGAAGCAAATTTGGCCCGCCACTGATTGCTTCCAAGGATAAAACGAATTGATTAGGGATTTAGAATCCCACAACGAACCGAACCAAGAAGCGATAGAAGTTTTTGGAGGAGAAATTAAAAGGGAAGAAAAACAGAGAGTCGAGAGTAGTTCATTCACGTTCAGGTTTTTGTCGGCTGTATTCTTTAATTTAAAAAGAAAGAAAGATTAAATTACGTGGCCACTAAAACCGTAACCACTTCCAAACATTCCAATATTTGTTGTAACATTTTTTTTTATTTTTTCTGATTAAAATGTGAAACAGTCTAAATTAATTAATCAGATAAAATAAAATTTAAAATAATTGGAACTTTTCTTATTGGGCCCGGCCCACGAGCCCTACGGCCCCAAGGCCCAAGGCCCAATCTTGACTCTATAAATATATATATACCCAATTCCAAGCCCAAGTCAAAACCCAAGCCAAAGCCCAAGCCAAAGTCCAACCCATTATCTCATCCAATTCATTCTCAATTGAACAATAAATGTGAATAATTGCTTATAAGGAGGTGGTGGTTTGTTTGTTCTTCCTATGTGGGACAATGTCCATTTCTATTTATTTATTTATTTCTTCTCTTTCACTCGATGAAAGAAGAGAGAATTCTGCATAGGATAAGTAGGTTTCCCTTTGAACTTTCCTTGAGCAGCACGTAGGTTTACCAATTGTCCAATGGACATGTTATCCTTGAACTGTTCAATTTCTTAGTAAATGAACTACATACCGACACAGGATCCACATTCCTAGTTTGGTTCTCATTATTTGGTCCATTTTGGCCATGGAACCCATCCTGGTTCTACAAGAGTTTCTAAAGAACTGAGTCTGGCAAGTTCTCCTTTGAAGCGGCCTAACTTCTCTCTTACAGAGGTTATTTTCCTAAGTATCAAAGTAATACAATACTAACTTAGTAATCATTAAAGCACTTATTTGCTATCCTTTCTACTTTGTCACCTTTCGTTGACAGGAATGGATTGAGGCTATTAGCCCCCACAGTGACGCACAGAAGTTTTATAGGCAGGTTGTCCCATTGAACCTAGTTCTTGGGATCTCCAATCATTTTAGGTTGGGTTTTCCTTTATAAGACTTATATTTCGGAAGGCTTAACCCCCATTCCTCTAGTCAATTTGTACACTACATCACGATTTAACCCTTTGGTTAGCGAATCCGCTAGGTTATCTTTTGATGTAACATGTTCTATCGTAATAACCTTAGTTGGGATCAGTTGTCTTATGGAATTGTGTCGACGGTGAATATGTCGACTCTTTCCATTGTACATTGTACTCTTTGCTCTGCCAATAGCAGATTTACTATCGCAGTAGAGAGTTATGGCAGAGACAGGCTTGTCCCATTTTGTAATGTCCTCAAGGAAGTGGCAAATCCATTCTGCCTCTTCTCCAGCTTTGTCCAAAGCAATGAACTCAAATTCCATTGTGAATTTGATAATAATTGTTTGTTTTGAGGATTTCCAAGAGATTCTGCACCAGCTAGTGTGAACACATATCCACTAGTTGATCTCGAATTAAGTGTGTCAGACATCCAATTGGCGTCTGAGTAGCCTTCTACTACTACTGGACGTCTGTTGTAGTGCAGCCCGTAATCTCGAGTGTACCGTAAGTACCTAAGTACACGAAATATGGCTTTCCAATGCTCGCGACTAAAATTACTTGTATACGTACTCAGCTTGCTTATAGCATAAGCTTTGTCAGGTCTAGTGCAGCTCATTAGGTACATTAAACTTCCAATTATCCGAGCCTATTTGATTTGGGATGCATCCTCTCCACGATTCTTGGATAAATGGATACTTGTGTCCAGAGGAGTTCTCGCTATTCTTGTATCATCCTTACTGAAGTTTTCGAGGATTTTGTCTACATAATGAGTTTGACTCAAAATTAGATCACTTGCGGTTCTATTGATCTTAATTCCTAAGATCACATCAGCGAGACCCATGTCCTTCATGTCAAATCTTGAATTTAGCATGTCTTTGGTAAACTTAACGATATATTCGTTGCTACCAACGATAAGTATATCGTCTACGTAAAGGCATATTATCACGTAACCTGACTCAGTGGTCTTTACATATATACATTTGTCACATTCATTGATTCTGAAACCACTATCCATCATAGTATGATCAAATTTTTCATGTCATTTCTTTAGGGCTTGTTTAAGTCCATATAGTGATTTCACAAGTCTACAGACTTTATTTTCCTTTCCTGAAACTGAGAGGCCTTCCGCCTGTTCCATGTAGATCTCTTAATCAAGATCTCCATTTAAAAATGCCGTTTTTACATCCATTTGATGCACCTCAAGATTCCGCAGAGCAGCTATCGCAAGGATCATCCTAATGGATGTTATTCTCGTGACAGGAGAATATGTGTCAAAGTAATCTAGGCCTTCTTGTTACCTGTAGCATTTGATTACAAGTCTAGCCTTGTATTTGTCTATTGTACCGTTTGGTTTTAATTTTCTCTTGAATATCCACTTTGATCCAAGAGGTTTCAAACTAGGTAGGAGATCCACAAGTTCCCAAGTGTGATTATGAAGAATAGAATCAATTTCACTTTTTACAGCTTCTTTCCAGAGAGGTGCTTCAACAGACCTCATAGCCTCAGCATATGTTGCAGGCTCATTTTCAAGGAGATAGGTGAAATATTCATTTCCAAACGACTTTTAGATTCGTGTTCGTTAGCTTCTTCTGAGCTCAGGTTCCTGACCTAGTTCAGATTCAGATTCAAAAATTTTCATTCGATCTTGGTCTTGGTCCACAGTTTCGTGTTCTCGGTTGACCGAACTAGGTTCAGCGCCTGCTTTTGCAGGGAACACATTTTCAAAGAATGATACATTCTTTGATTCCATTATCGTATTCTTTAGGATATCCGAGATTTTTGAATCGAATACCAAGAATCGATAGGCAGTACTGTTTGTGCATATCCTATGAAAATGCAGTCCACTGTCTTGAGACCGATTCTCACACATTTGGGAGGTGGCACCACTACCTTAGCTAGACACCCCCACACTCGAAGGTGTTTGTAAGATGGCTTTCGACATTTCCAAAGCTCATAATGGGTCTTCTCCATCTTTTTCCGAGGTATTAAGTTAAGCAGATAATTACTGCTTAAAATTGCCTCCCCCCCACAGGTTTTGGGGTAGTCCACAAGTTAACAACATCGCATTCATCATTTCAATTAATGTGCGATTTTTGTGTTCAACAATGTTGTTTGATTGAGGTGAGTAAGGTGGAGTTACTTCGTGAATTGTTCCATTTTGTGCACAAAAAAAACCGATCGGAGTTTCATATTCTCCACCTCTGTCACTTCGACTT